AAGTTGACTGATTTCGATAAAATTTTGACAGGTACTGATGAAAAAGTAATCAAAAAACTTTATGGACATTTGCTAGAGTTTAAATTAGAGGAAGAACAAGTAAAAGAAACAATGATTGTGTGGGGGGAAAATTTCGGATTATAAATTATAAAATGACAATGTCAACTGCGTATAAAGAAAATTTGTATAAGATGTTTTACAGGTGGCACTTACCCCCAACAAGAATTGCCAGGATGTTCAAGGATAAATTGGATAAATGTTGGAAATGTCACCAGATACCTGGTTCATATTACCACATGTGGTAGACATGCTCAGATGCAAAAAGACTATAATCCACATATGGTTGGAAAAAATGACAAAACAACACATAGCCTTTAAACCTGAGATATTTTTATTGGGAATTGAAATATTTGATTGTAAATGTTTTAACAGCGGCTAGAATTGTACTTGCTAAGAACTGGAAAAATGAAAAAATACCTATGCAGGTGGAAATTATTAAGAAAATCATGGACTGTGCCGAAATGAGTAAATTGACCTTTGAAATTAGAGAACAAGAGGATAAACAATTTTATATGATATGGGATTTATTTTATCAATGGTTAGATAAAAAGACATGGTAAAGAAATAGACTACTAAGCCTTACAATAAAAGTTAATAGATTGATATAGAAGACAATATAAAATATATAACCATTGGATGAATGTATAAGATTAAATCATAATGAAAATTAGAATATTTCGTATAAAATGATGGAAAAATAGTCAAATGAATGTTTAATAATTGATATTATATAAGCACAAGCTAGACTGATAAGATGAGAATTTATATAACTTGTGAGTAATGGTAAGAAAAGGATAGCACAAAAGATTGTAACCAACTGACACACTGTATGTATATAATTGAAAGATGGTTTTATGTTTTTATGTTTTGTTCGTATGTTTGTTGTAAAAAATAAAAACTTTGTTTTTTTTTTAAAGTTCCAAATGAAGGAGTTAATTTTCCTGCTTTCATTTTTATAATGTATTGTAAGATAAATTTAAGCCTATAGCTCTTCTTTCTATTGAAGATGGAAAATATAGTCTGATGATAGCCCATGTTTAAAAAACTCCTTCAGATACACTGAAAATAATAAGGAAAATAAAGAACATGGTACCAGGTACTCAATAAAGAAGGTAAAATACTGACAGATAACAAATTCATATGAAATTATGGGAAAGTTTTATTTTACAAAAGTGTATGTGCTCCTCTAAGAAACTATGAAAAACATAGAACACTGGTGATGCTGAAATGGGAGTGTGCGCACAGCGAAAAGGCACTGAGTGCCGAAACCAGCTGGCTAGTGTACATGCGCATGCCGGAACCCAGAAGAGCAGCTCCCAGAGCTCATATGCACACCAGCCACCTGGTCTTTTGGTTTCTTTCTTTCTTTTTTTTTTTAACAAGTTTTATTAAAAATTTCAACAACAAACAAATCATTACATATTTAAATCTTTCCCTGTCTTTCTACAGAAATTTCCCCAATATTCTCATAAAACACAAACAAACACAAACAAACATAAAAAAAATCTTTTAGTAAAGTACCTTGGCCCCAGTTACCTCTCTTTGCATGGGCAGCACATATCACTCTTCACAATTCTATCTTATTTAATCCATCTTAATTAAATCATTATATTTATATCTTTTGCCCATTCATTATCCCTCTATCTCTTCTTATAATAAAAAGAATTTCTCCTGAAATCACTAATCAGAGTATGATGCCTTTCTATCCTCCCCCTAAGTTAGTAAAATTAACATTCAACATAACAAATACCCAATTCGGTTCTGCTTGGTACATTCTATCCACCAAAAATGTTTAAATACATTGTATCCTCCTTTCCTTCAATATTTTATTACATTTTAAAAATCAATCATTATTAAAAACTTCAACATTTTAATTTCTTATTAAATCTTAAACCATTCTAATTTACTATTTCAAATATAAATGTTACAATACCATCTTCTGTACCTAGCAGAATCTTTCTTACAGAAGTTTATATTTCATCCTTTGTCCCTAAAAAAAATTCCTCTTCTCCCATCCAGTTTTAAAACTTTGAGGCTTTTCTCCGCCTTTCCCCTTTCTTTCTTCCCCCACCAAATCTTCCTACCCCCCCTTCTTCTTCTAACCTCTGCCTTGCTGGGATCCCTTCTCTGTTGTGTTCCCTTTTTCTCTTGTTTGCTATCATTATATTTACTTTGCATCATATTTTTCTCTTTCTCAAATGTTTTTTTAGATCTTAAGTCCTTCATTTTCCTTGCTCTCTTCCTTCCTTCTTCCTTAGATAAGTTTTGGGATTCAATAAAGATGGCGTCTTCGTCTTTTCCTTGTTGTTGTTCTTCTGTTTCCATCTGTTTCATTGTCTGTTGGTAATTGACCAGCGCCATTTCTAGAAATAGAAAAGCTTTTTCCATACCATCTTTGCAGGCTGCTTTTATTTGCTCATATTCATCCCTCAGGTCTTCAAAAGGGAAAGCCATTATAAATAAATCTTTTCTTTTCTTTATTCCTCTTTCTTCTTACACCAACCAAATATTCCGAGAGAAAGGTAAAACAATCCCAAAATCCACAATCCTCAATAAATCCAAGCAAGCCAAAATTCCCCCTTCCTCTTCCAGGGGTGGTATCAAACAAATAAAAAGAGAGTCCAAATCTATATTTTAAAGCCTTATTAAAATTATGTTTCTGTCCTCAAATCTTCAAGGCATCTCCTCCAACAAGATCCAGATTTATATATTTTCTTTATCCTCTCCCTTCCGGCTTAATTCCGTCGGGAGGGAGAGTAAACTTTCCTTTCAGCACCTCAAAATTGCCGCTTTTTTCCTCTTGTGGAAAAAATCATCAAAAAACCATCTTTTCCAGGAATTAAATTAGATAAATCTCAAAGCCCTGGGTCGACCAAGAAGAACTTTCACTTTCAATAACTTTCTCTTCTTCCTCCTGCGCATACTTGCCCGGCTGCCGACTTCTTTGTGGCGGCCATTACGGACCGCCGCTGCACCGTCCTGGTAAAAGGGGGTTCTGCCGGCCAGGGAGGGGGTCTGCAACACCCCCAGACCCTTCCTCCGGATCCCCCTTACCTTCAGCTACCCCTGCAGGGCAGCCTTGCTCCGCACCCGTCCGGATCGGAGCCCCAAAACGGCTAGCGCGGCAGGGATCACGCAGCTTCGCGAATCCCTACCGCTCGCGAAGCCGACAAACCGGAAACCATGTTTAAAAAACTCCTTCAGATACACTGAAAATAATAAGGAAAATAAAGAACATGGTACCAGGTACTCAATAAAGAAGGTAAAATACTGACAGATAACAAATTCATATGAAATTATGGGAAAGTTTTATTTTACAAAAGTGTATGTGCTCCTCTAAGAAACTATGAAAAACATAGAACACTGGTGATGCTGAAATGGGAGTGTGCGCACAGCGAAAAGGCACTGAGTGCCAAAACCAGCTGGCTAGTGTACATGCGCATGCCGGAACCCAGAAGAGCAGCTCCCAGAGCTCATATGCACACCAGCCACCTGGTCTTTTGGTTTCTAATGCACATGCATGTGTGAAGACCAGCTGGCTGGGACACATACGTGCACAAAGACCAGCTGGCTGGCACCAGAACCTGGAAGAGCAACAGGCAATGCCTGTCGTGCCCAGAGAGATGGCTCTGTGTGCCACTTCTGGCACACATGGCCTAGGTTTGCCATCATGGACATAGAATAATAAGAGTTGGAAGAGACCTTGGATGTCTTTTAGCCCAACCCCATGCTCAAGCAGGAGATCCTATACCACTTCAGACAAATGGTGGTCCAGTCTTTTTTTGAAAGCCTCCAGTGATGGAGCAAGCTATTCTATTATTGATTGCTCTCACCGCTAGGAATTTTCTCCTTAGTTCTAGGTTGCTTATCTCCTTGTTTAGTTTCCATCCATTGTTTCTTGTCAGTTTGAAGACACAAGACATTACTTTGAAATAGGTAGGCATTTCTTGACCATGCTCCTGATTTGAATTTAAATCATGATTTCCAGTGAGGATTCATGTTGAATTTGGCATCCCTGAAGGAGTGGGATAGCACTGCAGTGGAGATTGGAAGCCAAACAATGAATTCTGACCACTGCAATCTTTCCAGGTAAAGGAGAGATTCTGAGGTCACCCAATTGGATGCTAGACAGCTGCTCATTAATGGATTGCAGAACCTGAGGTTTTTGTAACTGGCTCATGAATTGAGTGGCTGATAATCAAAGGATTTTAATCAAGCTCATAGCCATAATACAGCTTATATCAGGGATATCAAACTCAATTTTATTAAGGGCTGCATGGGCATTATGGTTGTTCTCAAAGGGCCAGTTACATATAAGACTACTACGACTCACAGCAACCAAGTGGGCGTTTCCAGCTCCACGTTGTTCACTGCCTGTGGCTGGGTCAGGACAGAATGAATACCTAAGGGGATTGTTGCTGGGTGATAAGTTTGGGGGTAACAAGTTTTCTTTCTGGGGCCATTTTGGAGATACTTCAATGAAAGTTTGCAGGTGAAAACTTGCATCCACATAGTAAAAACTTTTTACACTATTTTAGCTTTAAAACTTGATGTTAAAATAACTTCCAAAGCTCTCTTTTTTTGGAAATAGTCTAGGCATGCTTATTTCTTTATTGGTTATGGATAACGTAGACTGGGAAGTTAAAAAAATCATAGAATAAAATTCACTACCATCTGATTATCAGAAAATTACCAGTGTCCATGGATACCATACTTGACTTGGATACTTTACATTGTATTTTTAAAATGCCTCTGCCTTTTTTAAAGTAATAAGAATAGCACACACTCTGCTTATTATTAAATTAAATTCTTAATGCAGACAATTTGCAATCTTATTTTAGAGTCTGCTTTGGATTGCAGGATTAAATCCTTCTGTTGTTAAAAAATCGTATGCATGATTATTAAGCACAAACTATTGTTTATTTGTGAATTTGCTTCAGTTTATGGACTACCTCCTCTGAAAGATGAAAAAAAAAAGTTCAGCTCAAAAGAAAACTTTATCACCCACAAGCCTCAAGAACTGAAGTGGGATTCAAAGCTATTTCTACCCAAAGAGCCCTGGCCTACAAAAGCTTGTTCCTTTACGGTTGGTATAAGTCAAGTTTTGATTCTTCTTTACCTGCATTTGTCCATAGGTGTTTTGAGCATTTTTAAGGAGAATATTAGTTGCCATAGTTTTAAAAACCTCAGCAAAGATTGCCATTTGCTGGAGTTTAACCTACATAGAAACAACTGAGAAAGCAAATATCTAAACATGTATTAAAAATCTAATTCTAGGGTTTCCTAAGTTTTAAGAGTGATTATTACCCCTGAACTGAAATTTTGAAAATGTAACCTTTTTTGCTTTGCATAGGAAGTATGATCCCCTACAATTCTTATTTAATGTTATCATATATATATATATATATATATATATATATA